TCAAAACTCGTGTTTGAATCATCAGTGGCAAATTCTTTAAATATAAAAAACGTACTTACAGTCTTTGAGTCAGAACAGCCGGCATTGTAGTCTACTCTCCCAGGATCAGGAAACAGTCCTCCATAAAATGTGCTGCACACATCTGAATATTTGGGTTGAAGTGTTCTGTAAATACAGTGGTGTAAATACAACTTAACCACTGATTTCTAGTCGTGTCCTCTTTTGGAAGGCCAAACAAAGTATTTTCGCTTTCGCAACGAAACACACAGCGCCTTCACGACATGGCGGCAGCAACAACAATACTACAGCGAGAATAAAAGTTACACCTTCTTTCTTTGCGTGAACATTTGGGCGGCGTTATGACACAGCATCTTCACAGCATGGCGGCGGTGGCAGCAACAACAAAGTTACGCCTTCTTTCTTTGCGTGAACATTTGGGCGGCGTTATGCAGATCTTCTCACATCGTGATGTAGACATGTGGGGGCATGTTTAAACGTGGCGTTTTAGGAGGGCGTGGACCAGTCTTAACTTTTATAAAGAATATCTCTTTGGGTTTGAGACTTTAGTCTTTGCAACTTTAGGGATCTTATCTATTCACAAACAGCTTGTAACACTCCAAAGAGAAAGGAAAACGTGAAATCGCATCATATGACCCCTTTAAAGGATTAAGGCTGTGACTGACACACCAAGCCAGTGGTCAGTCGTCGGGCAGTGTTGGGTCTTTGTTGAGCATCTGTCAGCCCAAGTCACTTCGTCACTTATTCAGCTCAAGTCAAGTCAGTACAATGTTGATTCAATTTAATTCAGAAAGAGTGTGGTTGATGTTACAAAGTTGATCAGTTATAAAACTAATTTGATTTAGCTATAAAGCAGCTCTACAGAAGAGAACAGTGTCATCATTTAACTCAATTCAATTCAAGTTTGGTTCTCATCTGATAATCTCAGTGCAGTTACATCTATAATATTACTGAAAATTAATTGTAATTTTGACACTCAAGATATGATTTTACATAATTTATATAATTTTATATAATAATTTTAAAGTTAAAATGTTATGTCATGGAATCCACTGTTTCAGCACTGGTTAGTTCTTAACACAGTTTTGAAAAATGCTAAAAAATAAAAATAAAAATAAAAATTGTGGGTGTGCTAAGCTGCAGGGTGGAGTGGGAAGTGGAGAGATAGAAAACGCAACAACCGGTGCTTATCAATTGGAAGGCTGCATCTTTCCTATACCAGTTGTTTTGAGGCTTCTAGGCTAGAGTTCTCAACTGTCAAGTAAGCCCACATTCACATCATATAGGTTTAAAAAAAAAAATACTACTAAGTAAAATTTGTGAAAATACATTAAAAATCTTCCTATTAACTGACTTTCTATTAATGTGATACAGTGAATGACAACTATCTGTCTCCCAGTGGTTTAGCTCATTGGCAGTTTAGCATTATGTGATTCATTTACTACAAAACAAATAAAAAACACATTGCCATCTTGCATTACATAATGTAACTGGACAAGTTCACTGCCAATTCATTTTCCACCAGTTCTTTTGGAATGTGTGCAAAGGATTGTGAGTGATTGGAAGACGTGAAGGATACATTTCATGCATCCTTCAAAATACTCCTAATGAAGGATTTGAATCATACGCTGCCTTCCAAGGATCCTTCTAAATTGAGATGGTCTTTGATGGTGCTTGATGACGTAGCTACGATACACTTCATTAATGCATTTAGTAGATGATTTTATCTAATTGGACTTAATATAAAGGAACATAAGCAGTTCATCACAGAGCCAACAATATTTATATTGTATAATGCCAGGTTTATTACAAAGCTAGACTAGGAAACAAGCTACAGCAGAGGTAATATGTGGAGAGAAGGACAATTGTGTGTGTGTGTGTACCTGGTATTCCCTAGATTATGAGGACCAAATGTCCCCACAAGGATAGTAAAACCAGTAAATTTTGATCTTGGGTGGACATTTTTTGGTCCCCATGAGGACGCAAGCTTATAAATCATACAGAATTTTTTGAAATAGCAGAAAGTTTTGTGTGAGGGGTAGGTTTGGGGGTAGGGTTAGGGTAAAGGGATTACATATATGGAATGTCCCCATAAAACATGGAAACCAATGTGTGGTGTGTGCGTAAGTAAGTGACTTGGTTTAATGTTGTGGAGAGGTTTAGTGATGTTTGGCATTAGTGTTGTTTACCCCACTAATGAATATTGAACAGTGATGTTGTGGTCAGCTCAACTGGCAGGTTTGCAGGGATTACATGGAGCTTTATCTTCGCAAGTTTGAGTTGGAGATGATGCTCCTTCTTCAAAGCCGAGATGTCTGAAAGGCAGGCAGAGATAGTACTGCTCCACCCTGGTCCTAGTACCATACATAATGAATACGGTCTGTCTCCAATCCCGTTTTTTTTCTCAGACTATCTGCCATCTGCACTGTTCTCACCCAGCTCCTATTTTATTGTCTGTGTCCTGTGGATTGGTGTTCACCCCGTTATATTAATGAAGTATGTGTTGATCTAACTCTGCATTTTGCTCCTCAGTACCACACATGACAATCAGCACTTTTTGAATATTTCCAACACAATTTAACAGTACCGCGATAATATTGATAATGTCATAATTTTGGTCACTGTAATCGTGATATAAAATTTTCAGAGGAGAAAAAAAATTTAGAAAGTGAATGCATGCAGTAAAATTGTACTAGAAAGTAAATAAAAACTTAGTGTATTGGTAGAGAAATGGAGAGTGATCAGCAGGCTACAAACACAAGCAATGCACCAACAAGGAAGCAGTCGAAAGAGGAATGTGTCAGTATGTGTGTAATCATTTCTGTGTTAGCAAGTGGTTGGTTGTTTGTATGTGTGTCACTGTCTGTTTATATTTTGAGGACTTGTAAGTTGATGTGTGTTTTCTGTTCTTATATCATGGACATCATGCTTCAGAGTGCTTTTGTTTTGATAATTAAAGTTTTGACTGCTGGAAATTATCCTGTCCTTTGCCTCTTTCGTGTTGCTTGAACCACGCCTTACAGAAGAACTGACCTAAAATAATAGATTTATCAGCAGTTAGACGCCTTCTCCTTACTTGGAAATCGATCCCTTGAGGACCACACCAGTGAGCTCCTTCAGCTGGCTCATCTAACTCACAATCAAGACCGGTCACTGATCGCATATTTTCAAGCCAGTCTCAAGGACTCACTAAAAGACCAGCTGCCCATCTAAGGTTTTCGGTGAACATTCAAAGACTTTGTGGAAGACGCACTCCTCCTGAGTTGGGTCCCCCTTCTCTGTGGGTGAGGAGGAAGAAGATCTGCTCAGCCCCACGCCAACCACGGACTTATAGCCAGAGCCCGTGCCTGCCACAGAGCTTGAGGCCACTCCCGCTACGGAGCCAGCCACCAGGTTTGTCCTGGAGCCAGAGCCCACCTTGTTCATCTCCGAATCTGAGCCAGAAGCCATGTCCGTCCAGAAGGGGGAATAAATGGACTTTAGAGATCTGGACTTAATTCTAGCCCATACTCCCTGAGGTCCTTCCTCCTGTGTCTAGCATGATGGACTCCCTATCCACTGATCCTGCCTAGCCTCCAGGTTCCTTTGTCCTCGCTTGTTCCATTCAGCTCTTCCTCCTTCCCTCTGGCTCCACTGTTGTCTTTGCTTACTCCTGCTCCACAGTGGCCCTCCGAGCCCATGCCTTTAGCTCGGTTCTGCAAGTCATCGAATCCTCCTTAAAAAAAACAGCTTGATAGATTTGCTTCTTAAAAACATGCAGCTTTTCACTTCACAAAATGGTTAGTTCACCCAAAAATGAAAATTAGCCCATGAATTACTCACCCTCAAGGCATCCTAGGTGTATATGACTTTCTTCTTTCAGACGAATCCAGTCGGAGCTATATAAAAAAATTGTCTTTGATCTTTCAAGCTGTTTAATGGCGCTCAGCGGGTGTTGCATTGCTTCAGTCCAAAAGAAGTTAAATAAAAATCGCCCAT